TTTTTTTTTTTTCAAGGCCACAGTAATTTCTGTAATGTATGCCATTATTCTTTTTATTAAAATTCTTTGATTTGTTTTCTTAGCTCTTTGTTAAAGTTAGAAACCTGCTTGGATGCAAATAATAGTCAACTGCGCACTGAAAGTCGTTGTAGTTTTCAGTGGGATCCACTGATAGAGTATTGTTGGCAAACAGCTCGTATTCGCCACTGTACTCCTCATCCAAGTTTCTTCCCCTGAACAATAATAACAGTGTACTTAAAAGATCTTCTGCGCGTTAATTTGAACGTCTTAAATTCTTTTGTTTTTCTGCTTTTCCTACTACTGCTCAAGGCGACGATAAACTTGCTGCTACATAAAAACAAGTCGTTTTTTCATCGTCTTTTGAAATGGATTGAAATGGAGGTAATATCTAACGGTACAGTTTAGTTCTTTCTGCGCTGTAAACCTCTTATTCTAAACTGTCCAGAAAGTGAAAAAAATTTTTATAGCCTCCGCTCCTTCGTACGTCCTCCAAGTTGTTTTTTGACCTGTGCATGTCTACTCGTTCTGCAAAATGTAGTGTGCTGAATAATTACTCGCTGTAAATCTTCTGTTGTATTCTTCAGTAATTCAAAAAAATAATTATTTTATGCGCGTCATTGAGATTGGTGCATAAATGATATTTAGCTTCTTCCAAGTTGAGGGCTTCCAAAAGTTAATTTTGACTGAATTAAAAATGAATTATAAGGTGGGGCAGTTTGTTGGGATCCTCTAATCGTTATATTAAAAGTGGTTTTCGTGTTAGTTAGTTATTCGACTTCAGATAATCAATTAATATATGTCTAGAAAACTAGATGTAATCACAATTTGTTTAGTAAATCTCGGCGTTTTCCTGAACTAACGGTCAACTTTCAAGAGTGAGAATTGCTCCCTGGACTGGCAAAAAACTTGAGGTCAATAAACCGCTGCACTTATAAGACAGAACGGAATTTATTTGTATGTCATTATATATTTTTGAGAATCGCAGCAGTAAAGTTCAATTTTCTCTGAATAATTGTGTCATTTGGCTATGCTCTAGTAAAGCGCTAAATTTCTAGAAGTTTGACTGGGTCTATTAAAAATTTCTGTACTCTAGATTTTAGAGCGAACCAGCAGCTAAAATAAAGCACCGTTTTGGATTAACTACTTGATCGACCCTGAGGGTGACCTTCTCACTAGGTTAACGGTACTCTTAATGTACTATCATTGTTTGGGAATGACTCCTTGTGTACTCCAAAAGTAATTTCTTGGGCTAGAAAATTAGTAGATTTGT